TAAAGAATAGAATAGCCTATGTGGCACTTTCAATACTTCTCCACAATGGATTTACTTGTTCTTCTATCCTGCCTTTTCCTCAGGACTTAAGGCAGAATATATACCCTGTTTCCCCTCAAAACAAGACCCAATGGGAAAATAAGCCCTCGCATGATTTTTCAGGATGCTCATAATATAAGTCCTACCTCAAAAATAAGACCCAGTTAAGATCGTTAACCAGATGGAGGTATTTTACTATCATATTTCCCAGAAAATAAGACCTAACCAGAAAATAAGCCCTAATGTGTCTTTTGGAGCAAAAAATTAATGTAAGACCCAGTCTTATTTTTGGGGAAACACAGTAGTACCCCTTCCACCCATTTTCCCTCAAAAAACACTGTGAGGTGAATTAAACTGAGAAAGTAGTCAGCCATGGAACTGTTGGTGGATTTGAATCTCAGGCCTTCTCAATATCAGTCTAACATCTTAACCACTGTATACGCTGACTTTCAATTTCAGTATTTATTTATAATTTTTATCTTGCCTTTATTTCTATAAATAACTCAAGGTGGCAAACATACCTAGTACTCCTTTTGCCTCCTATTTTCCCCACAAATACAACAACCCTGTGAGGTGGGTTGGACTGAGAGAGTGACTGGCTCAAAGTCACCCAATTGGTTTTCATGGGTAAGGCAGGACTAGAACTCACACTCTCCTGGTTTTTACCCTGGTGCCTTAATCACTTACAAATAACTAACATAAAGTATATTTGAGTCACACATTCTGAACACAAAACGTCTTCATGGAGGAAAAGAAAGAACAGCCATTGCAGCTTGCCGGAGTACACAAATGCATTTATTTTTCACCATCATCGGGATTATGAAATTACAGCAGCGGACTCTTGGTATTTACAAAGGAATCAAGCAACTGGACCAAAAGACCATTTGGGTAGACACCAGCAAAGGAAAGAAAAAAATTGATGCAAATTGATGGGAGTTTTACAGAGAAAAAAGACAGTAACAACAATGAAACGATGTGAAAGTAAAGTAAAGAATGAAAACTTTGGAAAGTACTTTGGACTTGACCAGATTCCTACAACTAAGACACTTCAAGGCAGATGTGAATGCAGGATTAATATAGAATTCACAGATCATGTCACTACATATTGCAGATCTGGGCATTTTACGGCCCCTGGGTCAACATACAGCCCTTTGCTGTCCCTGCCCGGTTCACTTGAGGTTCATCGGAAGTTAGAAATCAAATGTAAAATAAGCATAGGCCATGCTTACGATAGAACTGCTTCACTTTTATTTTGAAAGTGACTCCCCTCCCCCAATGTATGTATGTTTATTTATGCGCTTTCACAGTAATATGTGGGTCCTACTGGTTCCATACTCCACAACACTCCCAGTTTCTCACATGGCCCATGGGAAAATAAGCTGCCTATCCTGACATACAGGGTTCTTACTACATCTACTCAACCAAGTAGTAACTTTTTTTCCCTTGACTCCACAATGAGAGCTAGTCAGGAGACCATCTGCAAGCATGGCCAGCCAGACAGGCTCCAGTCAACATTTAAACCACCTGATAAACCGCCCAATATTACCTGAAATGTATAATAAAGAGAATACATATTTAATTATTCATATATTAACCGCAGCTAGAATTGTACTTGCACAATACTGGAAAAGTGAAGAGATTCCTACTGAAGAGAAGGTGATTAAGAAAATATTAGAATGTGCAGAAATGAATAGACTAACAGTGGCAATTAAGGAGAAAGAACAATCTGATTATTATATGGCATGAGAGGTGTTTTACCAATGGTTAGAGAACAAAAAAAGGAAATTGGAAATAAAAGATGATGAAAAGAATGGAAAATGTATTAAGACAGAGATAAGAATAAAATGATAATTGTTAGCATGAGCATGATGAAAATAACTATAATCAATGTTATTATTGTATATATATTAGAAGATATCCTAGAAGACATGTTAAGGAAGAGATTTATAAGGTTTAACTGTATAATGTATTATAATTTATAATTATAATACATTATAATATTTAATTATAATAAATTATAATATTTACCATAATTTATGGGAAAATGTCACACAGAAATACCCAGATGACACACTGCTTAAGGAAAGATGGAATGTATGTATTTTAAAATTGAAAAATTAAAAAAAAAAAACTTTTACAACAAAAAAGATTGAAACCACCAAAATTCCTATCCAAAAGAGTGTTAGTGAAGACTCTCAGTCATCCAAGCAAAGGTGTCCGAAGACTGAATTATGGCAACTTGACTAAGAAATTTCATTGCTCATCCAAGCAGCTTCGTCACTTCAGCCTAGAAGTGCTTCGCATAGATTTTAAAACACAGTAAGAACCAAAATCATTAACATAGATTTTTGAAGAGTGAATAGTTTTCATGCGGCTGTTAAACAAGATGACACAACGAAGGTTTGGCTAAAATATTTGAAATACGATTGTGCGAAGGCGAAGATTGTGCAATCTGACTACAACACGTGTACTCCGCTACCTGCCTGCCTTGCTTAAGCCACATTTTTCCCCCCCAAGGTCCTGCAAACTTATTTTTTGCTTCCCCTAATCTCTGGAACCCCACTAAAGCAGGTTTGCAAATATAATGTAGGGTAAAACCATCCCTAAGCAGCTTTCCCATAAAGGGTGTGGCTCAGTTGTTAGAGGGAACCTAAGAACCTATTTTAGAAGTGGTAGCAATTTGTGACAGAGAAACTGCTTCCAATCATAGTTCTACTGGCTAGGACTGCAAGGAAATCCCTTCCCGTCAAGTGAGCAAAATGGCAAGTCCAACAGAATCGGCAGTTTTAGTTCTTCCATAGCTTTAAGTCTCTCCCCTCACTCTTCTTCCTCCTTTGAGCTGCCCTATTGATCATTCATTGGCCGCTTCACAAATGTAGGCTTTAAAAAAAAAAATTGTGTAAGGACCAAAATATTGGAAGGGGAGGGGGAAGAAGGGACGTTCAGAACAAGAGAAAACAACCACCACCACCACAGTCACCCCTCTGTGGTTTTTTTTCTTTTTGGCTCCTCCAGCAAGATTCACATTTTGGTAATGCTTGTACAGCCATATTATGTCAGAAAAGCACTTTCTGTTTTGATTGAAAAGATGAGCTTAGATCAAGCGCTACGATAGAAAGACAGTTGGCTTTAAGTTCCAGGTTTGGGAAAAGCTTAGGCTTCCTGGAGCTTTTTTTTTTTTTTTTTTGGCAAGTCATTATGAGAGTGGAGGAGACAATAAAAAGAGGAAAAAAAGTTGAGTAATGTGTGCGTTATTAATTCAGTCTATTATTTCCATAAGAACTAGAATCCCTACTGGGACGTAAGCGAAATAGCCCAGGAAATAGCTTGATGGAACACCGCACGGTGTCACTTTGATGTCAGACCTTTGATCTCTAATCAGCCCTAGAGCTTATGGATCAGTTTTCTACAGCTGCCATTATTCATGCTTGAAATGGCTGAATACAAGCAAGACCCCCAAGACCTGTTAAGCCACAGGTGCCTCTCTTGTACGCAGCACGCATCTTTGGCACCGCAGGAGGAACAAAAGGACGAAGGCTAGAAAGGGAACAACGAGGGTGAAAATGAAAGGAAAGCACGGCGGGTTTTTTGTTTCGTTTTAGGTCACCTTCGGTTAAAAAGAAGAGGGTGCCCCCTTTTTTCCCCCACACAAAAGGCAAGGAAGGCCATAAGCCCAAATTAAGTTAAAATTCATCTGAGCAGCTACAGTATATCACAGAAGCAAGTACACCCCCTCACATTTTGTAAATATTTACGTCTATCTTTCCATGTGACAACACTGAAGAAAGGACACTTGGCTACAATGTAAAGTGAGTATACAACTTGTATAACACTAATGAGTCATGTGACACCAGGGAGGGAAAACGGCTATTTGTGCCCCATTTGAACACGATCTCTTAGGGATGTACTCACTTTTGTTGCCAGCAGTTTAGACTTTAATGGCTGTGTGTTGCGTTATTTTGAGGAGGACAGCACATTTACATTGTCATACAAGCTGTATACTCACTACTTTATATTGTAGCCAAGTGTCATTTCTTCAGTGCTGTCACATGAAAAGATATCCTTAAGATATGTAAAATTAGATATTGTGGTTTTTTTTCCCAAATTTCCCTGTCAATATTACCATGTTTACATATCATAACAGGAGCCAGAATTATATATGCACAAAAATGGAAGAATAATTTTGCTCCATTAGAGGAAGAGGTGATAAGGAAAGTCCTAGACTGTGCAGAGATGGAGAGCCTCACAAAAGAGGCCAAAGATAAAGGAGAAACAGATTATTATAAGGTATGCAGTGAATGCTATAAATGGTTAGAAGACAGGCATAAAGCTTAAGGAAAGATTAAATGAAGACGAAACAGGAGTTAGAAATCAGTAATAAATATGTATAAATGGAAACGACACACAATGAATGACTGTAACTCAAGAAATAGATTTGTATGTATAAAAACACTGCAATTACATGTATAGATAATGGCATATTGGAGTAGAGAGGGAATGCACATATAATGGATGTATACCAATATGGAAATGTTGTATAGAATAAGTTGTTTCTTTTTTGTTTTAAAAAACTGTATAATAAAAACTATTTAAAAAAAAGAAAAGATATCCTTAAATAAGGAAGGACTAAGGGAGACATGACAGCAATGTTCCAATATCTCAAGTGCTGTCACAAAGAAGAGGGAGTCAAGCTATTCTCCGAACCACCTGAGGGTAGAACAAGAAGCAATGGGTGGAAACTAATCAAGGAATCAACCAAGGAGAAATTTCCTGACACTTAGAACAATTAATCAGTGGAACAGCTTGCCTCCAGAAGTTGTGAATGCTCCAACACTGGAGGTTTTTAAGATGTTGGGATAGCCATTTGTCTGAAGTGGTGTAGGGTTTCCTGCCTAAGCAGGGGTTGGACTAGAAGACCTCCAAGGTCCCTTCCAACTCTGTTATTCTATTCTATTCTATTCTATTTACAAAATGTGGAGGGGTTTATTCACTTCTGTGATATACTGTATTGCTCTTTTGATACCTGGCCACAGCAGGGAAAAAGCTGAGCCCTAAAGGAATGATTCATGTTTCCTAACAGCAGACATGACGCTGGTATGGCTTCTAGGATCCACCCCTCGCTATGGGTGATGAAGCATTTTAATGGCTGCGGGTTTACGTTTCCAGTGACTTCCAAGGCACAGTATAATGTATGAAGAACCCCGGTAAAGCAAAGGCTTTGGAAATAATTCTATTATATAATTCTATAATAAGAGAATGAGGAAGTCTTACCAGAATTCTCCAGAACAGCTCCTCAAAGAGAGCAGCTTACATTCTTCAGCGGGTCTGTGACAAGGGGCAGTTTTAAGCTGACAAGAAGGTAACGAAGATCCCTTGAGATCAACTGCCTTTCGAATGCTGGTTCCTATGAGACTAGACTTAAGACACATACAAAGAGACAGACTCTCTGCGCAGTGGGCAAGAGGAAAACAAGATCCACCCTTAGTTGAACACCCACCTGCACCAGAAGGAACTTAAAATTAACCTCCCCTCACACAAAGCTCTGCATAGACCGTTCTTGCGTTTTGAGGCCACCATTAATCACTGGAAATCCCATCATTCAGTGCAAGCAAATATTACCCCATCCCAGGGTGGTGACCGCAGAAGGGCCACCTTCCATTTAGCGCCCACGGATCACCCTCTGGGGCAGGTCAGAGAAAGTTGCCCCCTCCTTAGACACCTCACCCAAGGTTAATGACACCCTCCTCCCTTCATTCTCCTTTCGACCCAAACCCAATTTGGGATTTCCACATGGGAACCTTTTGGTCAAAAAAGGAGTTTTGGTGAGAAGCACAATTGAAGAGTCTCCCTCCTTTCCCAATCCCAAAATGTTCCAAGTCAAGTAGGTGGAAAGAAACCATCCTCATCCAAACAAAGAATCCCAGGGGATAACAGCAGAGTTGTTATTACGAAATACAAATGGAGTTCTTTTTTTTCCTTTTTTTGCGGGGGGGAGGGCTTCCACATCATGCAGCTCTCCATCTCTTCCTTGGGCTGAAAAGCCAGGGATTCCAACACTTGACTTCAAAGGGGACAAGGGGAGGATGGGTTGGGTGGGCGGACAGACGGACACACCAATGTCATCCATCACCGCAAGTGAAGAGTCAAGATGACTATCAGGATAATCCCCAAAAGGAGGAAGAAGGGAAGCCAAGTCTTCACAAAGCCTCCTATGCTGTAAAAAGAAAGAAGAGAGATTTCAGAAACAAAAATGGGGAGGGGAGCCCACAACCCACTGAAGTGCAGCCACGGAGGATCAGAGAGAGAAGGAGCATTGATGAGAATGAGCAAAACAGAGGACAGGAAATGGACATATCAAGCCAGGTGTCCAACCTGTGACGCCGTGAGTTTGACACCCCCGATTTAAAGCATCTAGGTACAAGGGAGGTAAAATTATCTACATATTACATAAAGGAGAATCAAGCGCTTGATCAGAATGCTCTCTCTCTCTTTTACTCCGAGTCACAAAAGCCACGGAGTTTTCTACTCACCTGACATACTTCCCATACAGCAAGGAGAGAAAACAAAGTTTGATCATATTCCAGGACGTACTGTTGTCGTATCGCATGAGATTTAAGGCTAGAGCTACATGAGAATGGCAATTGTCACAACAGAGGTTATGCTACAAGAGAGGGAAAAAAATGTACAATTGAAGATATTTCTACTTCAAATATCTTCTCTAGACATAATCAGTACTGAGATGGCAATAGCCCTTAGACTTTCACAGTGCTGTACAGCCCTCTTTAAGGGGTTTACAGAGTCAGCCTACTGCCCCCCAACAATCTGGGTCCTCATTTTACCCACCTCGGAAGGACGGAAAGCTGAGACAACCTTGAGCCTGGTGAGACCCAAACTGCTGGCAGCTGGTGATGAGCAGAAGTAGAGATAGAGAAGATATCCTCAAGCTTAAACTGAAAGCTGCACCTTACTCACCATTCGGTGCTTATATTCCTCAGAGGCATCGTGTACTGCTGTATCCCAAGCATTGGGACCACAGGAATAGACTTTGTTGGGATCCAGCTTCCAGTATCTGACAAAAGGGAGGACGGAAAATCAAAATGGAAGTTGAAGTCCACAGGTCTTAAGGTTGGACACCCCTGCTTTAGTAACAAGTTGTTCCACTGACAGTTAGAACAATTAATCAGTGGAACAACTTGT